TTATTTTATTATTTCATTGAGTGCAATTCTATTCGCTGTCCTCTTTTATACTTATTCTTTTTTTTTTTTTTTTTTGGTCCAAAGAGATTTTAAGGAATTTATAAATAAAATTGATTTGAATGGCATTAATGATTTCAAACTTTTGTATTTAAATAATTAGCATTCGATTAAAAGGTTTTATCTTAAGAAGTGAGATAAATTCCTAATAAAACAATTTCGCCGATTAATGTTAAGACTAAATTTTGGTAGATACAAATACTGGAAGACCGACGAGATATTATAATGGAGATATATAGCCGAAATTGGAGGTGGCACGTGGCATTCGTAATTAATTTTTTCGATTGTTTTTTCACTTATTTAATTATTTAGACTCGCGATGTGAGGCTGAGTTTGGTTATCTTATCCTCGATGTTTGCTTAAAACTTTGATTTGTTCATTATTATTATTTTTCTTATTGAATTCACAAGAAATTCGGAAGAGATCAAAGACTACGACGATTTATTCATTTATAAGATTTTGTATAAAATATCGTTTAATAATGTATATAAAATTTTATTGTATATCGATCGATTATAATAGTAATTATATTAACACTATTATATAAAATAAGCATATGTTAATAATTGCTAAACAATAAGATTTTATCTGCGTTTAAATTGAAAATTAATTGAAAATCGATCTTTTGAATTTTTATATTTAGAGACTTCAAACAAAATTTTCAATTTTCTGTCAAATTTTATCACTTATTTAGAAGTTTTGAATGAACTTATTAAAATATCAATATGGTGTCGTCTTATTTTTATAAGTTATATACATTTAGCCAAACTAGTTTTAATAAAAAAATGAAATATAATTTATTTATTTGAATTGAATGAGAATTGATCGAATCAAAGTATTTAATTATTTAAGTAATTAATCATTGATGCGAGTGTGCAATAGGGGCGAGGAGAGGGAGAATGAGAAAGTAATATAACAATGTTTTCTGCGAACAAATCTCATAATACAGTGCTTCTCATTAACTATAGGATAAATATTTTTCAGAGGTTGAATTCTTTTTTATCTGGATGATCCTGCAATTTTAAAATTAAATAAGAAAATTGTCCAAGGGCACATCTATCTTTAAGATCGATGATTTTCTCTGACTGCCTGTGTAAGATAAACAATCTTCATTCTCGACCTTTAACACTGATTAGTCTTGCAAATCCCTTGAGGGATGTTCTTATCATTCTGTCTCAATCGTTCATTTCAGAATTTTTCCATATTTAGAAGTAAATATACAAATTTTTTTATAAGCGTCAATTAATAAGATAATTTAATCATTTCCTTAACAAGTATTTAAATATTTTCGAAACAAACGTTATCATCTATCAATACGTATTTTTAAAATTAAAAAGAAATTTATTAAAAAAACTTAATCTGTTTATTATGGAAGAATTTTTAATTTTTGTGTTTCAGGTATGTTTTTACCACTGAACAACATTTTTAACTTAGATGCTAATTTATGTAAGTAATTAAACATACTCTTTACATATGTGGCAAATTGAAGTTGAAAATCTATTAAATTGCAGTTTATTGAAGCAACTTTTAAGATTATAATTCTATATTTTTTTATAATTTATTATAAAAATTTTATATGATATTAACTAATAAAAAGTAACAAATAAGTATATGAATTTGCATATGAATAATTTTTATACTTAAATGTTTCAGTATTTCAGTAGAATAATAAATGATTATGACATAAATAGTAATTTAATTGACAATTAATTTAGACGTAAAATTTTGAAAAATATCTCATATTTACATAGTATTATTAATCAAATAATCATCAAAATGTTTTTAAGAATTTTAATATAATATAATAAGGCAGCGTTGACGATAGTTTATTATTATATTGAAAATAAATTACAATGTACAAAAATATATTGTGATATTAAAATTAGAATATATTTATCATTAAGTATCATTAAACAATTTAGTGTAATTATAATCACTACTCGTTTAATTTTATAAAATTCTAGAAAATAGTAATTTTTATAAATATAAAGTATTGACAATTATTTGACTAAATTTAGAATGCTTTCTAGCAGTTTATATCATATATATATATATATATATATATATATATATATAATAAACAATTGTAATTCTTTTTATTTGAATCAAATATAATTTCTTAAATTAAATAGAAACATGAAAAAATCAATTTCCTAATTTATTGAATAGATAAATGAAAATAACATTCAGTTTTTTTATATTAACGTACTTTCATTTAATATGCGACTTTGCATTTATATTTTCATATAATCTTGACAAATAATCTTATTGTTCGTATAATGTTAAGAATATAAGATTTGAAATAATATTTACTAACACGTTCAATTCAATTATTAGTTAATTTTCATAAATAATTAATTTTATTATATAATTTATTATTGAAATTAAATTAAGACTTTTTGTAAAAACAGTCTTGAAAAAATTTTATTCAATATGCATACTTTGTAATGATTATAAGTGTAGCAAAATAACAAAACCATAATCATATACCTTTTTCTTATATCCGAATCCACTAGTAATCCAAATTACTAGTAAATTGACCATTTCAAAAGCGTAACAATTAAGTTGAATAATAAAATGTATTAGTATTAAATTTTTTCAAACATAAAGAATTATGTTATAATTAATTATTACCATTATAATTTATATGTGTAGTAATAATCTAAAAAATAGTACTGTTTATCTTAGTATGCAATATCACGTCGAAAAAGTTTTTTAAGAATAAATTTGTAATTACCTCTAGTTTTATAGTAATTTATATGCTTTATTTTATAAGTATTATTTAACAATAGTTTTAGTTAACAATAAATTTAGACTAATATTATATATCTGTGAGGTTTAGACAATTAGCAATTGTTTTATATTTTAAATATATAAGAATTTATGTATTGAATTCTTATTTCAAAACTTATAAATGTTATGACTTCAAGTATTTAATCTTATAAAATATGTATTGTTAATTTTTATAGATTCTTTTATATATGCTTATATTTTTTATGTGTGAGTCAAAAGGTGTGGGAAGTTAATTTGAATGTCAATGGGGTATAGAATATTTCTATTCCATAACTATCGGCATTAGTTTATAATAAATATATAAATTAGGATTTTAATAATTTATTTATCTAATAAATTTTAATTAATTTTATTATTTCCAACATTTTAACGTTAAAGGCTATTTAACATACTTGAAAGAAATTAGGTATCGTTGCGCCTGTTGAAGTGTTACCCGCTGTACACGTGTGTTCTACGTATGGTAACAGCTGCTAAAATTTTAATTTAAATTAAAATTTAAACTAATTTTAATCGTTATTTAAATAAAAGTTAAAAATAATATCTTATTGTAGTTATGTTCGAATCATCTTTTTCTTATTTTATCTATCACATATTAAATTTACTTTATATTGTTTTTATAAAAAGGTTATTGATTACCTTATCATAATAAATAATGAATTACTTAAAATCAAACCATTTATCGCTTTTCAAATGTAATTTTTTTCATTCATTAGTATAACTCGATTTATTTAATTAATATTATTATCTAATTGTAGTTCTTTCTATAAATATTATAACAGGCTCATAAAATTGTTTCATTAAATTTCAAATTTATAATATAACTTTTTTTTATTTTGTAAGCAAATAGGATAGTAGTATACGTAAAATGTATGCTTAAAAAAAAAAACGTAATCATTTTTTTCTTCGCTTCCCACATATAAAGAATACTTTGAATGTTTACCTAAACATGAAGATTAAAGAAAATTCTATTTACATTTAGATTGATAACAATGACGAATTAAAATCAAGTATAGTATTATATTTAAATTATAATAATTATTATATTATATATATATATATATAATATAATAATATTATATATATAAATATAATAATATTATAATAAAGTATTATAATTAAATATAATTAAAATCAATTATAGTACATATTCATAAAGTTTTATAACATAACTAAATAAATTACATAATACTAGTAATCTTCTTATTCTTATTCGATTTAGTTTGTATAAATTTTATTTTTTCATTATACGTGCAACTGTGTTTATTTTCTTTGTTTTCTCATTGAAATACAGTATTTCGTAATAATTAAATTCATGAGACTGTCTAGTTTCAAGTTCAATAATTAGTGCTTAAATCCAATACATTGTATGTATGTTTATAAAGATATATTCTCCTATGTCAGCTTAAAATGTTATTTAAGCATCAAAGCTAAAACTGTTATGGTGTAGGAAGAGGCGAAAAAAAGTAATTAAGTAATTACGTATTTTTGAAATCATCAATTAACAAGTAAGTTTATTTTTACACCTTCGTAGATAGTTAGCAGTTTATATACTTAATTGTCAACTAAATAACAGTAATCTTTAGCATCAATGGTAATCTTAACTTTTGATTCTTATTAGTAATTAAGATATTAACATAATTTGCAATAAACAAATGATATGGCACGATTAACTTAATACCTGAGAAAATGGACGTCAAGTTTATTTTGGCGTAGACTTAAATATTTAGGAAGTAAATAAGTAATGTGATTTTACAACAAATCTTGAAGCTTATCCTTGCGAAAGTAATTACAATTATTAAAATGTACATAAAATATTTGCTACGCTATATACTGTTTTATATTAGGCATTTAACGCGTAGTTTCATGTCATTACAATTGATTTTTAAATTAATCGATTTTTAAATAAATCGATCCTCTAATGTGTGCTACATGTAAAATGCATTTTAATAATTTTAATAATTTATCTGAATATATAAATAACTTATATTTTAGCTAAAGCTAGGACAATTATAATGAAAATTTTATCTTTAAAACATCTATGAGTTGATACAGGCGCTATTTTTAAATCTAAACTATCACTTTATAGGTAATATTTTAATCAAACAATCTTCTAACTTGTAGTTTCGCCTTAAAAATCACGCGCGCACGGACACACACGCGCGCGCGCTTGCGCGCAAATCAAACAGAACATATCGAAGACATGAAAATCTAATAAGAAAAAAAAAAGTTAATATTTACATAAGAATACCGTTTATCAAAATCAAATACATATCAGCGATTTGTAACGGAATTCCAATCATTTTTTATCATATCAGAGCCCTTTTCGGCGATCATGATAACGGGGGCATTAGTGTTTCCACTGCTGATAGTCGGCATTATCGAAGCGTCGATGACCCTCAATCCTCCGACGCCGTAAACACGTAACCGCGGATCAACGACTGCGTCGGGATCGTAAGCCGGGCCCATCTTACAAGTGCCCACGGGATGGTAAATCGTCATGGAGATGTGACGTATGTGACACTCCCAGTACGCATCCGATGCGAACTTCAAGTGCTTGCAGCCTGGAAGCTTGATCCGATGGATTCTCGAGCCGAATTGCTTGAATACTTCAGCCTCGCTTACTCTTATTGCTATTTTGACACCCTCAACGAGGGTGGCGATGTCGCGAGGATCGTCGAAGTAGTTGGCATCGATTCTCGGGCTTTGAAAGGGATTGGCGCTTCGTAGCCTGACGGTGCCTCGTGAACGAGGTCGCAATAGCAGGGGCATTATCGTCCAGGCATCCTTGTTGACGATTGGCCGATAAACGGTGTTGTAAACTTCGTCGGTGATGCCCAAAACTTTGCGCACCTGTATACCGGCGTCGGAGTTGATGGACGCCGGTGCCATGTGAAATTGAATGTCAGGATAGGTGCCGGTGGCGTTGGCGTACTTAGTGTTTACGAACGCGTAGCCCTCGACACCGCCAAGCGTTGTCATTGGCCCTCTACCATTTGCCACATAGTGCATTGTCATGGGTGCGGGTGGAAATCGGTCTTGAATTATGGCAACGGGTTTGTCTATAATGAAAGTTAGTCCACCCATGCCCACGTGGTCTTGCATATTGTCTCCCACTCTGAGATTTCTGAGGACGGGTATGCCCATTTCTTCGAGATGATCCTTTGGCCCGATGCCCGAGAGCATTAGTATTTGGGCCGTGTTAATAGAGCCGGCCGATAAAATAATTTCATTCCTTGCCTTTACTATTTGTTTTCGCCCATCGCGCACAAACTCCACTCCCGTTGCTTTCATCGTTAACGAATTGACAATTATCTTCGTCACATGGGCATTCAAAGCTGTATGCAAATTATTTCTCAATCTGACTGGTCGCAGAAAGGCTTTAGCCGTGGAGCATCTGGTGCCTCGTCTAATAGTGCCTTGGGCGATCATGAAACCAGTTTGATATTCTCCGTTGATATCACGATTCTCGTAACCGAGTTCGGTACCCGCCTGTACAAAGGCTACAACCAAAGGTGTTTTCCATGGCGATTCCTAAATAGATAAGTGGATGATTATACAAATATGTAACTGCTTAAGTACATGGATACACTAATAGATAATTACGGTATTGTTATTCTTGTACATTATACTGGATATTTGCGTAGACGAAGATGACGAAGGGTCGCGATAATTAATTTTCAATTGCAGTTTGCGTGCGAAGTAAGCAGTATAGTCGCGACAATAAGAAGATACGATCACAATAAGAACGATATCGATTAGTTTAGTATTAATGTTAATGGAGAGATATTAGTGGCATCAGCATTATAGAAATGAAATGATTAATCAGTAGCTTAACAATTTTATTAACTATCTGTATCGAACTCGATCATTAAATGGATGCTGCAATTTTTTAGCGATCGATTTTACACAATCGACAGCACAAATAAATTTAATTTAAATACTTAATAGGAAATTCCTTTATCATAATAGCCGTAGCCAATACGCAATATTACCAATTACAGTTTACCATTAGCATTGTTAAAGAGTTAAAAGGTTATCATTAAAAAAAAAAAAAAAAAAAAAAAAAAAAAAAAAAAAAAAAAAAAAAACAATATTTAAAGACAAAGCCAAGGACGAATGGACGAACCTGTACTGTCAAATAGCCGCCCTTGCCGTGATACGGGCTGTTCCTCAGATAGGGATTACGATTGTCCTCGGACTTTTTGAAATAGTATAATGCTTGGTCGTAACCCCAGCCAGGGTTACCCAAATCCTCCCAGTTATCGTAGTCGTGGCGATTGCCCCTCACGTACAGCATGTAATTGAGAACGCTCGAGCCGCCGAGGACTTTACCTCGGGGCCAATTGCATCGTCCTTCTTTCATGGCGAGGCAGGAGCGTCCGTTGGGCTCCGTCTTGTATTTCCAGTCGAGTTTCGTCAATTGGAGATACGCTGCCAGAGACGGCACATCCGTGATCTCGTTCTCATCGGGCCCAGCCTCCAACAATAGGATCTTCCAATGTCGGATCTCGGAGAGTCGACTGGCCACCACTGCACCGGCCGATCCACCGCCTATTATCACAAAATCGTACTCGGCTTCGAGGGGATAGCGATTAATCGGCCGGCTCTCGGGATCTGTTCGAAGAAATAAATATTAGTCGAGCTTCGCTTCATAAATAGCATGCAGATTTATTTGTAACTGCACAGCCTTTACTTTTCCTTTCTGTTTATTGCCTTTCCCTAACTACTCTAAAGTGTGTTTTTGTCGTCATCGTCGTCATCGTCGTCGTCGTTGTTCTTCCCCTCACCCCCCCCTTAAAAAAAAAATATTTAAAAGGAGCTATCAAAGGTGAGCCTTGCTTTCAATGATATTTGCAAAAATGTTACTACATGATCAATATCTTACTTAATTACCATGAAAATTCCAACTGTCGATCAACGATCGCTAAGCTTTTATCGAATAATTCAAAAGCTAGAAGTAAGTTACAAACATGTTACAAAGTGCTACGAATGATTTAGAAAATTCAAAATTCAATCGTGCCGATGAGAAATTATTTTTATTTATTTTTATTTATTCTTGCAACGATTACAATGTTAAACACTTCATTCAAATTAATAATAGAAATTAAAATTTCATCGATGATTATATTATAATTTGCTATGCACCCGTATTACTCAAAAGTTACGTATCTTGGAACTTTCTCTCAGTTAAATCATTTTTTCTATTACTATTATTTTAATAGAGTTTCAACGCATTGACACGAAAATGATCGCATATTTACGAAAACCGTCATGAGATGGTTAAGTTTAATCATATTTGCAATTATGCATACGTTTGAATTACATTTCAATGCTAATAATTACAATAATCTTTCATATATACTACGTTAGATTATCAATATTTGTATTGGCGTAATTATTATGAAAAGAAGTAGGCTCATTTACAGATAATTAATACACGTTGTGTATAAATTAGCTTATAATTATAAAATATTCACAAGAATATATTAAATTAAATTTATAAAGAAAATAAAAGAATAGTATTTCTACGATCAGACTCTCGAATACATTAATCAAATATTATACTTCCCCTTGCTTTAAATAGTGATTGAATATATTTTTCTATTATTATTATTATTATTATTATCATTATTATTATTATTATTATTATTATTATTATTATTATTATTATTATTATCATTATTATAAAATTGTATTTGCAGTTTCGTCGTTTCATTATACAAAAACTCTTGGAAATGTAATTATTTCAGATATAAGTAAGGATCAATTAAAATTAAAGAATACTTCAAATATAGTCGAATAAAATAATAAGTTTTTTAATTCGAGTAGGGAACACCATTGTCCACAGTATAAATAAATATATCATTTAAACTAAAACTTAATCATTCAAGTACAAGGTAATCGGTAATTTTTTTAATCTTCCTATTACTGATTTAATCTATGCTCATTATATTATATAAAACTCGTTTAGCTTTATTTTACATTTTATTGTTGATAATTTGATATTTTAATACTGTTACTTTATTTCAAGGAATATATAAATTTAATGAGCTACGTTCGAATGTCAGGAATATCTCTTTTGAATAATGCTCGCTAAAAATATAATTCATAAATGAACACTTGCCCCGCCGTATAAGTTTTGAAATATGAAATTTTAGTATTTTACGCTTGAGAGCCTTTATGAAGTACAAACTTCAAAACAATAAATCTCTGAGCTAAATTACATATTCTAAAAAATATTAGTTACATTTTTGACGCGTTTCATTGTTTTTGTTTTTGTTTTTGTTTTTGTCTTTCACAGATACAGGAATAAAAACATTATCCGAAAGCTAATGGGCGCAGTACTTTTACAAAAAGTTCTACAAAATTTTGTTCGAATTAAGCGATTTTTCAAACAATCGCAGTAGTATCTTTTTTTCTAATTTTTGTTTTAATTTTATCTCAATTTTAAATGATATTTATAATTACTTTATAATTACTTTAAGTTAATATATAGACAGAATTAGAAAGTTGTACGAATAAATTTTACGTCAACAATAAATTATTCGAGATGTAATTGTAAACGATATGTATCATATATATATATATATATATATAAGTACATACGACTGTGGCTATTTAAAATATAAGTATCGTTTGATAAAAGTGAACAAAAAGGCTCCTTCGAGACGATAAGAAGCTCGTAAAATGCATTTTCCTCGTAGTGTATTTACATACAATTCTTTTCCAACGAATGATCAAGAAAACAATGTATTATTGATAAATGTCGACGTGTCATCGAGTATGTAATTATAATACGCAGCCGAATCGTCGGGCTAAAACGCTCATTCAAATGCTGTATTTTCGTTCGAATCGCTTATGTCGCTCGACTTTCGAAAAACCTTGGTAGAGGAGGAATTCCATACCTAATTGGTCGTAATGGTAGTAAGAGAGACCGGCGATCAGCAGTGGCACCAGCCATAATCCCGTGCCGACCAAACCAATAGCACCTTTGAGCGCTGAAGTAACAACGATCGTACTCAAAACCATGTCTTGTTCAATTGTCTTCAATTTGGCAAAAGCGTCGAAAGATCTCGTCCGGCGGTCTCGAGGCTCTCCGCACTTCGTACGTGATGATCTGTCGACGATCGGGATCGTGCATGTTACGATCGGCAAATGTCCGACGATGGAGCGACTTCCGTGTGCATTCTGAAAGTACAATGGATGGAATTGAATGCAAATCAAAATGACCGTTATAAAGCTGAATTAGAATAATTAGAAGGTTTTGATTTCGGTGCATAGATAAATATTCACTTTTCTTTCCAGCTTCATTTCATTGTCTTATGCAACAAATACAAGAGATAAGACGTGAGAGCGCTTATCATCGTTAATGTTTATTGACATTATAATCACTTGTAATGTCCAATATTTTTTCCACATCGTGAGATATAATTATGCAGCGTAACGTGAATCGCCAGGTTCTTACTTTTAGTAAATTGATTCATTGTAAAATTATGAAATTCATCAACATTCGATGAAATATAATTGCTAATGTAAATCATTAATTGAGTAGAAACAAATGTTTGAATTATTTATTGAAATATAAAATGTTAGAAAGGAATTGATACCGTAGGACGTAGTAAGAACGTAAAACGTAAATTATTATCGCATGTCACGACAAAGGTACAAGAGTAAGGCATATAATTAAAAAAAAAAAGTTACAATATTCATTACATTTATAAATGAATTTCTTAAGCATATATGCCTTCGAGATTTCGCTAATTTCTTACCTTAATGCAGAGCAATATTTAACGATATTCCTAAGCTATGCTAATTTACTCAACGACTTCCACTAGAAATTTGCATTAATTAGAATGGTTTAAACGAGGCTTGATAATGACTAATCTCCACTCGTGCCATTAAAGAGGAAAACTTAATTAGAAAAACTTTAGGTAGCAAAAACCAAGCTTTCTTTCATCTTTCCGCGAACGATAATAATTTTTTTTTTTTTTTTTAGAATTTTACCATGTCGCTTGATCGGCAAAAAACTCTAAAGAAAAAAACAAAGCAAAACAAAAGAAAAAACAAAAACTTAATGTAAAATTGAAACTACATTTTCTCGTCTCTTTCTTTAGTTCTTCTATTTTGCAATTCAAGCATGCTCAATTGTCTGTGCAATTTACTAGAGTAAATTGTAGAGCGAAAGTGTCATTTGGGGAAGGTTAATTAATGTTCGAATGGTAGTGCAGTGTCGGCAGGAGGATGGGTAAAGTGAAAAATGCGTTGAATTCGATTGAAGCGACGAGAAACGTAGAAACAAAGAAGCTTCCGGATGTTGCGTTCTCGGGCGGCTTTTTCGGCTTACGCGCAATGCTCGATGTCATTATTTGGGCGGGGAGGTAGAGAAAGTGGCGTCTCGGCATCGCAGGAGCGTGGAAAAATGATCAGCTCTTATAAATGCACGCTGCGCTCCAAACACAGTACTAAAGGAGAGTAGAAAGCACACTCCTTGTCCGTGAATATATTTTACGTCTCTCAGGACCATTTTTTCGTCTTTTTCTTTTACTCCGTTTTTTCTTTTTCGTTTGTTGCTTTTTCTTTTTGCGCAAACTAAGTTCTTTATCTTGGCCTGTGCACGATATATTTTTGACGCGGTGAAAGCTCCGCTGATTATACATAAAAAATTTGTAGCGACTGGATTATCCCGAGGGCAACTCGCACGTGCACTGTTCCCGGGTGTTGATATAGCGTTTTAAAGTACTTTTTATCGCTTTTATTGCTTTTAAGTACTTTTTTTTTTGCGTTGGCGTTTATGTGCGAGCGGTGTAAGGCGGAGTCGCTTGATCGAGTCTTTCCTTAATGTGTTATTGATTGTAGGTGCTTGACGATCGTTTTGGCCCGCTGATTCTTACACCGTCTTATCAGCTATAACGACTAGCTCTTTTGTAACGAACATGGATATCGATATCATTGTCAATTTTAGTTAACGAATTGTAAAAAGCACTTTTATAAATTATGAGGAAAAGATTGCGAAAGAAAGTTGTAATTATCTGATGTATCGAGCATTTAGAAAGTCGTAAGAATCGAGGTTTGGATAAAGCTATCGGGGGGGGGGGGCGCAAAATTATTAATGATGTTATGCAATGTTTTACATTTTCAATGTAATTCCAACTGTCATTCGTATGCCATTTAATTATGCAATTTTTTTTTTATTCATATTTTCTTGTGGATTTTTTAATCGGGTCGTATTATCGTGATGAGATATTTTGATAATTATTTTTATTGAAAAATTGTAAAACTGGTTCACTTATTATCACGTATTTAGTTGTCTATGAAATATAAATTAATTTTTAGTTAGGATAAACTGTTAACCGTCAATTATATAAAATCTTGATAAGAAATAAAATGAATACAACGAATACATTTCGTATTTCTTCAAATAATGCATTTTAATATCCGATAATGTTACTTACAACTACAACTTGGAACAATTGACGTTGAATAACTTTATCGAATTGTTATTAATACACCACTGTTATCGCAAAACATCTTAACATTTTTTTTTTTTTTTTTTTTTTTTTTTATATTGTGAAATAACAAATTATGGCAAATAGTAGGCATCGATAGAAAAATGTTATCTTTGATTGTTTCTTGAATAGAATATAACATCTATAAACTTATAGTTTGATATCTAGTAAATAATTTTATTGTTGTTGAGATACTCCCTAATTGCCTTAGAAGTAACACGTAAAACAACCAAATCTATTAACTTTTCTCATAAAATTTGAATTTTATATTTAATAATGATATACTCCATTTTAATTAGCCATATATAATAAACCATATAATAAAAGCTAATTAAAATTATCGAGCAAAATCAACGAATCTTTTCAATTCCAATAGGGCAGAAGCAAATAAATTAATAACGATAAGGAAGTCTATTCGTTACACTTGTTGCAAAATTAAATTATTTGACAGTCAAATATAGTAAAACGATAGTAATTTAACAGCTCTAAAGATGTTAAGTTTTATATGTATTTATAAATAAATATGCTAGTAAGATGCATCGAATAAATAAAGTTTTTTAATTCCAAGAACAAATCAGTTTGTTTCAACTGAAAGTAAATAGTATAAATAAGAATTTTAACGATACTCGGTAATTCCACGTTATAAGTAAGCACTGTTTGCTAAAGCCTTTTCTTTCTTAGCGTTTCTAAATAATACATTTAAAGTCCGTACGTAGAATTTACTGTTTTCCACGTATGCACTTTAATTATTACGTCTAACGTTGCCATTAATTTTACCATCTCAATAAAGCGAGACTATTTCTTTAAGCTCTTATTCACGTCCCGAGATTTCCTGGCGTGTCGAAATGACGATTCACTGCACCACAAAGATAACAAGGCTTCCCACATTAATCGCTTTCTTCTGAGTTTCGCGCATAAGGTTGGAAAACAGGCTATGGGTCAAACTACGATGTCGAAAAGAGCGCATAAGACTTTTACACGAATATGAATACTGCAATTAAAAGTCGTCATATCGACGTTAGACAAAATGTCTTTGAATTAATGCAAACTATCTGATTTTGATATATTTTTATTAGCATTTTTATGCGATGACGATAAGAATGCAATAAAAATGAATAATATAAGAAACAAATGCTTATTAAGACGATCCCTAGATAAAAAGACTGCAAGGAAAGGTAAAAAAAATCTCAGCAAATTTCACTTGAAATTTATGCATTTGACGAATGAAGTTAGATAAATAAAACGTTGGTTACGGAAAGGTGAGCTTTTCAAATTTATTTAAAAAAAAAAAACAAAAACAAAATTTTCAACAATTCCGGTTTTATCAATTTCTAATATTATGATTTTACGTAATTCTGCTTTAATACGTAATATTTTTATATATGTTTTAATATATATATAATATTATCTTTGCGCTTAAGATATTTAATACTGCAATTGATTATATATTTTTTTTATTTAAAAATCGATTAATATCGAGTTTGTGTGTTTAAATCTTTGCTTTCTCTTAATAACTGTCCCTTAAATTTACAATAATAAATGCATAAAATAAGCAGAACACGTTGATTTCAATGACTGTGAAATTCCAGCAGTAACAATAGCAAACGATGAAAATTAATTTTTGTAGTGGTAAATTTTTTAAAATCTTCCGAATACTTTCGCTAAAGAGTATTTCAATAGAAGCACAATTTATATGGAATGTAATTCATAAACATAAAAATCGATCGCTTTATCGATGTAATAAGTGATAATAAAATAGTTTCATATAAAAATTTGAAAAACTCTTATTGTCTAATATTATTTTATTATTTGCTCCATCTTATTTATAAATCATTGTTATTTTATAAATTTTCAGATCAGAGCTTTTATTTACTTATAGTTGATTAAAAAAAAGAATAAAAGAAGAAAAAAAAGAATTACACTAATGGCTAAGTAATGAGAATTTTTTTTTATTTTTACAAATATTTTTAATAGGTATTCGCTAAAAAAATTACGATTATTAATATGAAAATACTATGCGCCTTAATGGACTTGTCTATGTAAAAGACGTAATAACACGTACATACATATTTATAATGAATTTATAATTCAACATGTCAAATAAGCATGATCTTTTGAATCAGTCATTCGTACGCAATAAATAAAACTATCTGTTACATCTGATAAGAAAGTGAAAGAAATTATTGGGGTTTTTTTTTTTTTTTTTTATTTTTTTTTTTATTTTTACACTCGAGGCGAGCAATAATTAATTGTATGATTATAGCCAATGCAAGTTTATTGGCCAACGCATTTATTGTTCGTTGTGCTCATAAGAATTTTTTTACTTTTTTCAATTTTTTTCTTCTTTCCTTTTATTTATTAAAACCTTTGAGTGTTAGATTATTGCATAGTAGCAAATGCGTAAAATTTACCATGAAATATTTACGTCTCATAACGTTAAATTAACAGTGCACAATAATAGCTTGAATATATTCAAATGATGGATCATGGTATATGTCATTGATAATCGATTGAAAGTGAAGAAAGTTAAGTCTTTGAGATTGCGGAATTTTAACATTTTTGTCAGTGCATTGATAAGCGATCACTTACGCGTCACAAGTGATTCATCGGCGCTTTCCGTTTAAGAAAACGATTGATTTGCTTATGATCCGCGTAAAAAGTGCTGCGCATTCGACTTGACGGTAAAACTCGAGCAAAAGTCATTTCGATCGTAGTTGGAAGTAAAAGCTTATAAACAGGGGTATTATATAAATGTCGCTTTATTGGTAAATACAAATTGTCGGTTGATTTGGGGCGCTCGTTTACGCTCGTCTCTTTCCTGTTGTGCCTGTTATCCTTTTTACAGTTATGCAGAAACGCGTGTAAGTGGTCGGTGTGAGCGTACGGGGACATTAAGGAGCCGAGTGAGGCGAGGAATCTCGGAACGTATCAAGTAAGATGTTCGGAATTGCAAGCGTCGAATGCGTTTGCTCGTTCGTATAATATAGTTTCCTGCCCGAGCAAGATGGTGATCTCATAAAGGAGGCGAAAGGAGAAAGTGTTTCGCGTCCAGTGCGCCTTGAAGAACCTCTCCGACTTCTTCTTTTGCTCTACGAAAGTCACGGTTACGTTATGGAGTCGGCTACCCGAGGTACTCGAGCGGTGAGCGGCGCTGCTCTCGTTCCCTCCGTTTTTTTTTCTGCTCCCGATTTCACGGGTCTAAAGCTTCGTTCGCGATCGCGATGTGCCGCGCCTCTCGGCCTACGGATCCTTACGGAATTACCGCGCGTGCGCTTACTTCCGCTCGCTACCTCGCAAAGCGCGTAATCGCCAAGCGGCAGCACGCGCCTACGTGTCCGCCGATGCATTTGTTTTTCACGGGCAAATTCTCTCTTTTTTTTCTGCCGTCGTCGTAATTTTCAGCGTTTCGTGTCCTTCTGAATCCTTACGTCGGTAACGTTCGACGGGTTGCAATTTGCTTGGCCTGAACTTCTTGCGACGGCTAACGGCTAAAAGGATTATTGGACGACTGGGAAACGAAGTAGGAAAGTGTTATTAAATCAAGTGTAAAAAAAATCTACTTTACTACATTCTCGTAACCTCCTCTTTCGAACCGTAAAATGAAAAAGTCCGCAAGGTGACTTTTTTTCCTTCTCTACATTTTCACGGATTTTAAAGACTTTGATGCTTTATCATTTTGCGAATTGAATTTTTCAAGGATGATTATAAATTTTAATTTACCTTTTTCTATATCCGCAATAAAATTTATTTATCCGTATTCATGTTTCATCAATAATTTATTTATTATAATTGCAAATCTCATTGATATTGACAAAATAAATACAATGATTTTAAATTACGTATTTATTACTGTAAGCAAGTAAAAGGAAATTTAACAGTAAAAAACAAAAATAATATTTTTATACAAAATACAAAAATTATTATTATTATTATAAATATGCTATTTATTTTCTAGTCATAGTGGATTAATAGTGAATTGATAATTAATTCTCAATTAATATCGATGACAACGAGACTTTTAATTAAAAGTCGATAATATTTGTTTTTCACCTTAATAGGTCAATCCGCTTTAGTAATCATAAAATGAAGAATAGTTTAATTTTAAGACTATGTTTTGCTTCATAATAGTTTTTTTTTTCCGTCATCTATAAAATTGAATCGATACAACTTGGTTACTCTTTATATCCCTATATTTTCTCACATTAACAAAAAATAATAATAATTAGTTGTTTCCACGCAATAAAATTGAATATTATATTGTGTTGCTCGTAAGAATTATTTGCTATAATACTTTTTATACATTTTCAAAATAAATAATTTTATATACATATTTAAAAAAAAATGTTTTCAAGAAATTCAATCAATGTTTAAGATTTTATATTTATGACAATAAAAAGCAAATGAAAAGTAAGGATTTAATGATATATGACGTAAAGGTTTAAAATAAATTAAAGTAAACAACTATTGTATATATAGATTTAGGAAGGTGTATATAAGCTCTGATTATTGATTTGAAAAAACTAAAAAATCAAATAATGTAATCAAATAGTGAAATTTTAAAAATATATTTTTCACATATAATGAATCTTAGCTGTTATTGTTTTCCTTTTCAACCTTTTTCGTTAACTTTGAAAGAGATGAATGAATCAAGCAAGAATGTAAGTAGAGTATTTTATTCTGCTTAGGAAATACGGAGTTTGTGATAAGTATGTACATTTATATTACATACATTATCAAATATATTTTACATTTTTTTTTTTTGAAATTGGAATATTGATTTCTTGTGTATAATTTGCGATAATATAACAAATTGCTATATGTTAGGTATAATTCATTGTGGGTACTTGATGACGTAGTTTTGAAACGTGTTCAATTAATATTATTTTTAAGGCTGATGAATATGAATTTGGATATTTTCAATATTTAAATAGTATTAATTTTTTGATTTTCTATTACTAGATACATTATAACATTTACGTTCTAATAACATAAACGAAACATTGCTATAATGTATGATTATTTATGAAATGTATAATAACTGTACGATAAATAGAATAAACATTTCATTAATTGTTTTTTTTTTTTTTTAAGAATACAATAGTGCCAATAACCTATTTGCGTTTTATAATGATTATTATCCTATTACATAATGTTTAAATAATGATGTTAAAAGATTAAAAGTAATAATATAAGTCGTCTCTAAAAAAAGGTGTTTTGTGGTATCGACTAACATTTAAAGTCGGATTATCTTAAGTAAATGAAACCAAAAAGTGAATAAACTTTCACGTGTACGTTTTAGTTCTTAAGTGCAAATTTTTAGGAAAAAAGGAATTTCGAACGGTCAATTACACAAGTTAAAATAAAAATTTTAGTATTTATAAAATATATTTATATAATATTCTAGTAATTACAAAGAGAATTTTAGTAAGAAAAACAATTGAAAATCTTTTTGTTTGAAGGTACTTTATTTAAAAACTAGAATTAGTATTAGAAAAGTAGATAAAATTTCGAGTTTTTTTTGTGCTCCTTTGACAAGAAACACGTGTCAAATTTCAAGTTCTAATGCATAAATACAATTTATATAATAAACTGTTTTTTTATAAAGTATATTTTTTTAAATTCAAAGGTATTTTTCACATTAATTCTTTTGAATTCATCTTTATAATTATTTGTCACATGTTTGTATTTGTTATCTTTCTATTAGCAATACTCTTCTCATATCTTAATCATCATCATAATCTTCTCATACTAGTTTAAAATTTATAGATCATTCTTCACTGAATGATCATTACAGTTGAATAGTTGAATAGAGAGATTTTTTTAGGATTGCGTTAAGATCCTAAATCATATTTATCAATTTTCTTAAATTTTTCAGGAATAATGCAAAAGTATTGAATTAATAT